AAAGGTTTTAATGTTATTCGCTAGGCGATTCATACGATATAAAATAGTAAGAAACTTTATATAACTCTTCAGTGTCTTTGGCCTGTGTTAGTTGTAACTATATTTAGTTCAAGTCTTATAAGGACCTTCGGGTACTATATTATAATAAATAAATTATTTAAAGTACATTTTAATTTTAATGTGAGTATGCATTAAGAAAATAAGATTTTACGAGTCTAGTGTATCGTATCAGAATATATACTTTTTTCTGGTTACATTGAAAAAAGAGAAATCTAATGTTTCTATTTGTTAGAAACTAAACCACTACAGAGTATTCCACGAGCTTCTTCTTAATCTTTGCTTTGACTGTCGTTTTCACTTTCTCATTAATCACTTCTTTGATGTTTTAAGAAATGATAGAACATTATTTGTTTCGTTTATAGCATAGGTACTAAGACCATTTGCTTCGTCCCTAATTTTAAACTGCTTAAAATATTGTTTGTTTCGTTTACAGCATAGGTACTAACACCACCTGCTTCGTCCCTAATTTTAAACTGCTGACCACAGAGAAGACAAACGACAAGCAGCCCCCAGCATCAATTCTTAGGCTACTCTTTTACCATCTATTAATTGGATTTAATGTTACATTATAACGTTCCCACGGCTGAAAAGGCGAACGTATTTGCTGTAGGGTTTCGATCTTCTGACCCAGAAATTGCGAATCTAGTGCCATAACCACCAGATCACGCAATGCCTGAGAAAATGTTGGATAAACCACAGATTATAAACTCATGCATATCATTTTGAACATTCCTTGAGCAGAAACTAAAAGGACAGCAATTTTAGTCTGGGCACTTGTAGTAGGTTACTATAAGACAGATGCTCAAAGAATTATCATTTTCTTTCCAATAATGTTAAATTAACCAAATAGAAAAAAGCTATTTTATGCTAAACAATAATGATACAGATTGAATTACTATCAAAATCGTTATCGTACGTGTTAAAAAGCTTCTATGATACAGCTGGAGATATTATCGAAATCATTATTTTAATTAGAGAGCTGCTGTATACAAACATTTAATCAACTAGAACCACGGCAAGAAAAGTTATTTTATTACTTCATGAAGTTTATCTTTAATTAATTTTCATGATTTTATTCATTTAATAATTTCTAAACAATTAATTATCTCACTGTTTTTGCAGCAGTCGAAAATACTACTTATATTGTTTAAATAACAAAATACTATTGAACAATTTTAGCCAATCAGTTTCCTCTAACCTAGAATATTGATCAACATGGGACACAAGAACCTTTCAGAAAGAGACTTGTAATAAGTCGTACCACAGTCATAGCAAGCAAAGTACAGCGTCTTGTGAACAGGTGAGAACCCACAAATACAGCAGTCATGGGTGAAAACATTTCACATGTTCTAAAGAACCATACCCAACATAATAAATAAGGATCTATGTTTGGAAAACAACACATGTCAAGTGTATGCAAGTTACTTCCACGGCAAATCTAGGACAGGAGGAACTGCTGCAGGAAATTGTTTGAACGGAGCCTAGCCGGGATAAAATGGTAACATGTGTGGTAACACCCGATTAAGCACATGTGTAATTCGATAATTGTAACAAGTATCGTTCCATTTGTTGCTAATCAATGGGTGTAGAAAATTTTGAAAGCTGGCACGTGGCATTTTACGAAACTTTTCGAAGAGATTCATGATCATCACTGGATACTGCTCCAGGGGAAAAGTTAGGGATCAGATGAAGTGGACATAAATGTCAAGGTAGACTTCGCTTACTACCATACCAATTTTCTGGACACTTCGTATAACAAAGAAATGTAAGATATGTACGGAAAAAACGGCGAACAGGTTCACCAAGATAAAATTTTTCAGTAATATCTCTCGCTCAACCATTGCATACCTCAAGCACCTTGAAAACGAAGCGGTTACTGATACTAATTTATACGAGGTCACCAGATGCAGCAGTTATGGATTTCTGTGTGATTGGACTGTTGAAATGGGCTCGTTTCGGTACACTAAATGGTTAATGAAAGGAGGAGTGGTACGTTTTGGACATGAAAGGCAAAGCTTCTTTTACAGTGAAAATTTGACGGCAGGTAATTATTAACATGCACGGTGGGTTGGTTAGATAGAATATGATCCGACATGATGAGGCACCAAAATCGTTATTGATATAAAGCACTCAACCTCCATAATCTTTATCTTTATAACAATAAATCTCTCAGTCATTATATAAAACTTTCCTTTTTTTCCTGCCATTCTAAGTTTATGTGCACATTACATAACTTTGAATGATGACATACACTCTAATAGTATAAAAAATTACACAAAGCTTGCAAATAATTATGCACAATTGCGTAAAATTACACAATAAACGATTGTTTAACATTACACAGTACTACCACATAACAGTGTGTGTGATTTTTATGTGAACTTCAAATGTTTGTAGCCTTTAACTTATAGCATATTTATGTAGTGCATATATTAAAATGTATTGAAAAAAAATGATTTTACAGCACTAAATTAAAATATATTTATTATTTTATATACTTAAAATTCTTCTAACCCAGTAACTTTCGAACAATTTGAACTAAATCGACAATTGTGTTAAAGTTAGTAAAGATTTTATCCTTAGTGTACTATGTGTAATGCAATATCATATGTAATGCATTATAAAATATTGGGACAATATATCCCGGCTCGTAATGGACCACTGAATTTGCATGCGAATATTGTATGGTGAATTGTCGCATAGCGTTAATATAGGCCTGTATCTGCCACAGCTAACCAGTTACAGTCAATAAGCCTCAAGGAAAGAGGCTCATAGAGCCTCAAATAGTCCACTTTACTTATATATAAATCATACCGTGGGTAATGAAGTGAACAAATGTAAGATCGCTACAACTGTGCAAAATAAACCGAGTTCTCAAACTCTACCGGATATTTGAAATTGACTCCATTATCCAGGGATTTAATACTGCAGACCAGTACATATACTCTGCTCAAGGACCTTGCTGTCAGATACCACAAATGGGCTGTAACCCATGAGTTACTCACTTATCTTTGAATAGGAAGTCAGCTCTCGTGGTGCCTAGACCCTGAAAACTTTGGTGGGGAACACTGAGGAAACCATTATGTGGAACAATAAATTCTAATACCCATTATATTCTTCAGATGGACGAGTCTATGGTCGATTGCAAGGTGGAAAAATTCCTTCGATACAAGTTCGTCGTCCATGCTGTGAAGAGTAGTGGAGTATTACTATGTAGTCCTTGGACTTGTTTCAGCCAATTTTAACAGCCAATTTATCCGTGAATTACTTGTCGTGTTATTAGATTGTGGACAAAGCTCCACTGTTTGGCAGATTCTACAGAAGAAAGACTACGCCTCTTTCAACATGAATATTTACATTGCCACACTGATGTTTTGAAAAGACGTACTTTATATCGAGGCCAACCCTGATCCTAAATCTAAATTTAGTTAATCCAGTCTTGGATATCTTGTAATGTTGACAGAGCGACATAGAGACGGACCTAAAAAATGTCTGTACTTGGAGATACAAAGTGTGTCGATTTAGTCCACCAGATGTGTTCCAATGGCTCACAGAAAGTATTAGTAACAGAGTCTGCATAAAACCTTTATATAAATCAAAATATATCTACCTCATTATATAGCATTACCATGTAATAAAATTCCTGATCAGCGCCAAATTACTTTATAACTGGGAAGACATATTGCACAAGAGTAGTTGAGTATAGCCTTAGGGTTAATTCACTAGATTTACAAATATATATACAGCAGGTAATAAGAGAAGATTAGTAATAAATATAATAGTAAAATACTAACAATATATTTGTTTCTGTATAATTGTAAACACTTCTTAAATCCAACTTTATCCCAAACTCGAGTGTACAGTGTTCAGGAGTCTTAAGTTTCTTCCACTTCGAAAACACGCTCTTATTGGGCTTATCATATTTTAGGGTAAAACAGTAAGTCGGTTTTTCACCATCACAATTTGTTATTAAAAGCACAAATACTAACCAAAGCTCTCCTATAAAATATCAACAAGTTTATTAAATTTATTGGTTATAATACATTTAATCGAATTACATAAAATAAACAAAACTATATGATTTAAGGTAAAATGGTTGTATATGTGATGTAAAGAATTATCTATTATTCTAGGATATTCTGGATAAATGTTATAACACACACACACATATACCCAAGCGCATCATAATGTTTTTAATAGTAGGTACAAATTAACATACAAAATGAAAAAGTGGATTTTTCTATCACAGTATTTCAACAATATTTTTAATATTTAGTTAATGGTCTGACGTAGCAGAGAAATAATAATGTTTATAACGTCGGCAGTGCGCTTATAACATAAGATGCTTGTTTTCAAGTAAGCAAATGTTGAATGAAACTTACAGAACACATATATGTATATCTTACCAAAGATAAGTAGTTTATTGATTACCCAAATGAGCCCATTACAGCTACGAGAAAGTAGATTAATTTGTTCCCACCATCAGGACACTTGTCCTTGCATATGTTAGCTGTATGAGAGAAAATAGATATTTTGATTAATTACCATCGGTAAGTTTTGTAAGGCTTATTAGAGAGCTCAGGTCACGAACAGGGAGCAAAAACAGGACTAAAGTATACATGTTGGCTTGAGTTAATATATGGAAGAGAATTAACCTTAATTTTACTTCAGGGGAATACAAATTATCTGCAAGTAGTGTATGCTGTTCATGAAAGTAATTGGTTCCTCGTTTTGAGACTTAATCGGCAACGGACCGTATTGTTAGTTAATCAAGAAACAATTGTTAACACAAGTGAGACTACAGCATATGTTTAGCTAGATGCTCCTATCCTCATAAAAATTATTTCTCAAGGATTTTTTGTTAAGTCTTCTAGTTGATTTTGACAATATTGTAAAATAATATGAAATAACACGGATATTTGTATAAGATGAACACTTACCATTCCTCCCACGAAACTTTAGCACGAATACGATTAATACAGCCACTAAGACAAGCCCACCAACTATGCCACTAAGAATGATAAGTAAAGGGTTGAGAGTGACTTTCCAGTGGGTATCTAAAAGATAAAAAAATAATAATTAAGAGTATTTCGAAATGTATTACATGTTTATTATTAATATCTGCAAATATAGTAGTATACATAGGTTGTGTGCCTTATATTAAAGGGATTTTGGATCCTCACCAAGTCGTTGCAGTCCATGCCCCTCGTCTTGTCATGCATCTTAAAGACATTTCATTTTCATAATATCTCTGCACCGTAGTTTCCACTGCAAACAAGGATTCGTGGTAAAGCTATATTGTCAAAACAGCACCACTCCTTCCTGCTTGCTTTTCATAATATATGAAGTGTGAACGACGATTTCATGTCCCCGTTTCTACATTCCGATTTTGACGACTTGACTACTATATCTCCATTCTCCAGCTGCTTGAAGAACACAACAGTTGAACGGATATGTCCTACAAGAAACTTGTGTACGCGTGACTTGCGTCACTTTTCCAGAAGATACTTCTTGGTTCTATTCGTATTGATGCATGTTTTTTTTTCATTGAACTTTGTGCTCGAGTAATCTCACACGTTTGAAGACAACGAATTTGGCCTATTACACCTGGAGTATGACTTGTTACAGGTCTCTTTTTGAAAGGTCTTGGTGCCCCAAAATGATATATATTTATTTTTTACTAATGCATTTAAGCACAAGGAATGCCACGAATTTAGAAATTTGAATTTACCAATGTTTTCACATCTCTATGACATGAGTGTATGAATATTTTACGTGCTACATACCCTTCTCAAAAGCAATCAATTTTTCGTGGCATCACATTGCCTACGTTAGGCGAAAAGTATCACTATATAGTCCTGACACATGCGGTTTCACCTTGACTTTATATCGACTGTAGTTGTCACGTTACTAGCTGATTTCGATATTCAAATTCGTTGTAATATAACATACTCTACCTTCTGTAATGCACAATATTACACATTAACGAAATAAAATTATATAATTTCTAATATTTTTAAAAGCTCCAAATAAAAAAGGTAAACGAATTGTTTAATTCAACATCTCGATATATTCCTAACGTATATTTCTTTGAAAGGGGAGCTTTTCGATCTTCTTATTTACTATATTTAGCATGTAAGTGTTCTACCGCGATAACCTTATTATATTACAAAGCTCAACAAAGGCACATATTTCATAAAGCCGCAACATCCAGACATTCCGTTTAACGTTTGCGGTAATAAACTATCCAAGAATAAGGCGCGTATTTTTATGAATTTTATTAAATATCATTTTAAACTGTAAAATTATTTATATAGTACATGATTCCTGTACATAAATGATTTCTATATCAGCTTTTAGTTAACGTGTTTCTTTGTTGAAGTTCGCGCGAAGCTACTATGAGAAAATGTTCTCTTGCCGTCCCTAATTTTGTGGTGAAAGACTAGAGGGAAGGCAGCTTGTCAATTCCATCCACCTCCAACTCTTGGGCTACTCTTTACCAACAAATAGTTGGACTGACCGTAATATCCTCACGTGAAAGAGCGAATAAGTATGCCTACGGATTTCGATTTCACAATGAAAAAATTGCAAGTCGACCGCTCTAACGATCAGGCCATTTCAGGGTTTGATGGTTAAAGTCTTTAATTAAAGACGATTCTCTTTCCAAAATTAGATAAGAATCTGATTTTTATTATCGTGTTTAGAGCATATAAAAACGAAAACCTTTCATGCGTTTGGATTTCCTTATGACTGCTAGAAAACTTTAAAACACGATACAATTAAAGACTTGTCATATTGTAAGTACCTTTCTCTTTCATTCGTGCAAATTTACAGCCTGCATGAAAGGTCACGCCTTAAATGATTTATTTTGTCATTTGTATGTTCTAGATTTATGATAGCAACAATAATGTGTGAAGCTTTGTCTCATGGATTGATGGGAGTCGATTGTATCCAAGTGCAATAAGCCTATTTATCAATTTGCTATTTGATTTTAATATCTAATGTAAATGCCACCCTACTGCAAATGTACTTAAGTTGATGAGTTAGGGACAATTCTTTTCACATGTTATTGTCACCGTAGTTTATATAGAACGAAAAAAAAAGGACACAAGTGGTATTTGTGATGTAAGTTTTGGAACGAACTGTTCCAAATTTATGGTTCTAATTACATAAAAGTACTCAGAATAGGACAGAAGAAAGACCAATGTACTGTCAGTATTTACTATACGCCCAACTTTTAATCTTTGTGAAACCATGTGTACACTAACCCTGCTTAATGTGTATGTTCACAATCAAGCATTATTTTTAATTAATTTGCTTACAGCTAGATATACGTGATTAATATGTATGGCGTGTAAAAACTATTAAAAATTAAATCGATATTTGTGTTTTAATTGCAACTTGATTTAAAACTAACATAAATATAGGCTATAAAAATAGACAAAAACGCTATTAGTCACACGAGTAACAACCAATTATAGTTATAGCGTGATAAAATCTAAAAAGGAGAAAAAAAATACTATAGAAGTCTCTATATTTCAGTCAAATTAGTTTTTATTGTATTTTTCATACATTTTGATATTTTTTTTTGAATAGATCTTGACAAAATTTATAATGTAAATAATAAAATGAATTAAAGTCAAACATCTCTCGAATGTCAGTTAGGAAAACATTAAAGATTTATTCAAAATTTATTTTATGTTGGTACAAACCAGTATACTGTTAATAAAGTCACTTTAGTAATACCAATACCACCGCTTAAATGTTAGAATAAAATACTATTTTTATTATTTATTTATTTAGGTCCATAACTTAGCATGCTTCTTATTTGATTAACCTTTGCTCACCACATGCTTTCGAGAGCGCCACACAAGCAATATGGCTATACAATTTACACTACAAACAAACAAACGTACGTACCATGATAAACGCCTAACGATGCAGCTAGATAAACACCAACATGCAGTTTTATACAGATTTTTATGTTTCGTTTTTCAGCTCGGACATAGGACAGGAAGATTATTCGACACCTTTCCTGTTAAGTGGATTTTATTGGTGTTCTCTCTTTTCCCATTCACATTAAAGCCTATATCATTTGATTTATAGACCCCAGCCACCTTGATAAAGGACCGTTTGTTTGAGAAGTTTAGAGAAGTTCCTCCAAACTATATCCCTGTCACATTTAAATAGATAAATAAGGGATTCTTCTAGAATGTATGATGGACTGAATTGTTGTTTAGCATATAATGTGTTGTGATGATACTTTAGTGTATTATTTTTATTATTGCAATAATACGTCGTTTTTAGTTTTATAAGACATTGTAATCATATACAACATATTGTTGCTTAGTTTGTAATGTACTGGAATCTTTGTTTATTTGTTATTAAGCACGAACTGTAGAATGTGCTGTTCTGTGCCCTCTGCGGATGTCGAAATCTGATTCTTAACTTTATAAGCCCTCAGACATACCTCTAAGCTACCAGAGAGCACGTATTACAGTACCGTAGTGTATTGATATTTAGTGTATTATGTGTTTTGAGGATATGTAGTTTATTGTGAAAGGTTTATAATGTTTATAAATGGTATGTTATGCACTATGTTAACTTTACAATATGTTGTAATGATAACATGTTGTTTTTAATGTGAATGATAGTATGCGATGAATTAATGACTTTATAATGTTTGTGGCTACATGTGGCGTATTGCTTTAAATTCATCATGCATTGTAATTATATGTTTTGCGTTATTTAATAAATTAGAAAGTATGTGATGCATTAATATTTAGTTTATAACGTATTTATTCAAAGTTGGCTTAATATTTTTTAATGTAATGCAAGGAATGACGTATTATTGATTACTTATAAAAATGTTGGAATGAAAAGCACGACTTATGCATTTGGATATATTTTTTAAGCTAGAATTCGTATGGGAAATATACATCTAGCATGTTGGGTAAAAATGATTCTGAGGTTTCTGTCTAATGTAACAGGACATGGCCAAACAACATGGGTTATTATCATTCTCATAACTAACATTAGTTTTAATGTCACGATGTGAATACTGGAGAACAGAAGCGATTAATAAGCATATTGACGTAATATCCGGAATAAACTGCTAGTTCACAAATGTTTCGACCTACGGCTTTTTTCTATGTTAATAAGCATATTGACGTAATATCCGGAATAAACTGCTAGTTCACAAATGTTTCGACCTACGGCTTTTTTCTATGTTAATAAGCATATTGACGTAATATCCGGAATAAACTGCTAGTTCACAAATGTTTCGACCTACGGCTTTTTTCTATGTTAAAGCATTTCACAAGCAACTTACACAATGGAAACGCAACTAAAAACAAAAACGGCTTTGAGTATGGTTATTTAGTAAATTTGTAAATGAAGTATATCATTTTTTCAAGCATATATAGTGAACAGTTGCTAAAGGAAAAACACAACTATGAAAAATAAACGCTACAGGTAAAGAAAATAAATTGCTAACATGTCAGAAATAAAAACTACTTTTAAAAGCTTTGCTTTTCATAAAAAATATATATTAATAGTTAAAAAATAATACAGAGAAGTATCATTATAACGCCATCTATCATGAATAATATATAACTAAGACTAGAAATTGTAAAATCGATAAGATTATACATTACTGAGTGTTAAAAATATATAGTTTTAAAGTTGGCAAATATGTGTAAGTTTTTTATTCGAGGGGTGTGTGGCTGTAGAATAAATAACGTATGTGAGATTAAGATATTCCGCGGAATGTAATCAATATTCAGTTGTAACATGTGTTACCTTATGTAACACATCTAGGACTATTAAAAAATATATTAAACAATGAACATCCGGTTTCACTTATATATATTTGGCTGACACGCAATACACTGTAATTTCTAATGATACAGTTGCTAATTTAACAAACTATCTTAGCCACGCAGTTGAAACTCATTCATTGATCGGGTTGCTTTCTTAATGATGAGATTCAGCATTGCCTTATTGTACTAGTTGAATTAATTGACTATTTGGTTGTTGAAATCTTCATTATAGTGGA